TAAGGCACGACAGAGGAGTATCTCTAACTAACTTAGAATAGGATAAAAATAACTCCGAATGCATTTAGTAAGCTTACGGCACTGATAGGAATTACATTTAATTATCTTTATGAGGAAGAAGATTTGAATAAACATAGTACCAGGTTTTGGCAGGTGGATATATGCCCAGAGGCTCACCAGCCCTTCCTGCCTGCTTGGCACTGAAGGGCTTTCATGGCACAGAAGGCCATGTTTTAGGAAAGTACAAATCTTAAGTCTTACTTCAGTAACAGTTAATACTTGGTGACAAAATATCCTGACAGAAACGGGTTATGTCAAACAAAATACTTTCAACTATGTACAGCAGTTTATAGCACACTTGGTATCTGTGTGTGTATTTATACATTCCTCATATTTTAACCAACTCCCTTGGCGGTCAACACTATGTCTTACCATGAAGGTAGAGAGGGAACCTGTTGATCATCTGGGGGCTATGCCAGCACACAGCTTATGAACAACCAACCAACCAAAAAATATCCGAAGCAAATATTACAGTTGTATTTTTATTTGGACATTTTCCAGTGATAGCTATTAGGCTACAGTTTTTATGATGCATACATTTACTAAGTACAACATCAGACACTACAATAGATCAGAGCTCAGGTCATTCTGACAATGTTTTGGTTTTCATCTATGTACTGTAGTGGCATCGAGAGAAAAACCTATGTTTAAAGGCTTTCATTTATCACATGAAGTATCAGCATCTTAAAAAAACCAAGTGTTTACTCATAGTTTTTATACGTTATTTGAAATGTGTTCAGTTTAAATCACAAATTACACAGACCTTCAAATTGCAAATGCTGGTGTTTCCAACTTGGGAACAAATGTTACTGGATATGAATCCACTTTTCACCATTGAAATTGATCCTATTTTTTCCCTGTGATAGAATAGATTAATTGCATTTATGAGACTTAAGCACTTTCAGATTCCATCCCAGACTGAAGTCTGAGAAGCAATTTTTCAAAATTTGGATAGAAGACTGTGACCTAAACATCAGAATATAATGATCACTGGAATAAAAATACACCAAAATGGATGAGGTAATTATTGTGCAAAATCTCTAGAATAACTGTATATAATTCTAAGGGGTCATTGACAAGTATTTTTCCAGCATCCGATAAAATCTATCATAATAATAGATAATAAATTAAAATATAAAAGATATGTCCACATTAAAAGAGCATAACAATGATTCAAAGGAAAAAAAAATGTTAAAATAATCTGCATTATATTCCATGGTTAAATAGGTATTAGTCCTAAAGTGACAGATATTATACACTGACACTAAAATTTTACTTCTGAAAAGTGCATGTAAAATACTGCCATGTAAAATGTTAGATGAATTACCAACTACACATCTATTCCAACTTAAAAATATTTTCCTTTAAAACATGTCAAGCAGCATATACTTTTAATGTGATATAAAAGTAATACCAATCAAACCACCGAGTTTAAGGATAATACCTATAAATTACTAAACACTACTCTTTTTTTTTTTTTAAGGAAACAAGATACAATAAGGCTTTTTACAGGTAAACAAACTTAAAAAATAAACAAAAATACATTTAGGCATACATTTTTAACACTAATGCTTAAGTAGTGGATACATTTCCTGATCTACAGTATGAATATACTGTAATGCCAAATGTTTGTTTTTCAATATGAGAAAATATTTGTAGGTCACTCATGTATTTTCTTTCCTAACCTTGTTACTGGACATGAAGGCTTTCCCATTACATTCTCACAAGTACAGTACCCCTAACAGTCTGAAAACTACATGATACCTTATTTGGAGCCACTTAACAGCAGCTGTAGTTTCAGAAATCAAGTAACATTTGAAAAAAGTGTGTTTGGAAAACAACATAAATCATGTAGCAAAGATCATTCAAAACGTTTATGCAATGTAGTATTAGGTTCTTGGAAATACTGGCATCATCCATCAAACAACGTGGGGCATACATGTTTGAAAATAAGACAACATGAGCATCTTAAAATGATACTGACAAAGTTTAGGTTGTCTTTACTACCGATTTTAGCAACCATACAAACAGCAGGTCTACCTCTCAAGTAACTGAAATGCTTCAGTCTTCTTATCAGCAAATTTTTTTCTGAGACCTTGCAGGCAAATGGTTTAGTACCAAATAGTCTAATAGTGTACCTCTAGATTATTTCTCAATATTTTAAAAGAAATTAATGTTAATGCTAAGTTGCTAATTATTATAATACATAAAAAATATTGCACAATGCAATTGAGCGATGCGTGTGGCTTTTTTTTACATGTATATTTGAGCCACACACCACAACCTACCTGTGTTAAAGTTCAGAACTGGAACCTTAAGCAAGGCTTCTGCGCTTATGTTGCACATTGTGAAATGTGAATTCTGTATAGCAGATCCAAGATGTGTGAGATAGAAAGATCTTTTCAGGAAGATGTGCAATATCCAAGATAACTGTTTCTTATTATGCACTCTGGATCTCCAGTCATTAAATCAGCATGAATCATAGTCAAAATCTACTTAACATTCTTGTTAGTCAACCTTTCAGAGAATGAGAGCCTGGAGCTACCGCAGAAATTTTCTGTTAAAGTTTTTCCTCTCAAATTCCAGTATGAAAGAATTTTTTTTTTTTCCTTTTTATTAAGTGGCAACAAAACAAAAGAGATTATACTCAAAATACACACTGTCCTCTCTGGTGTCTACAAAGAAAGAACAACATTAGACAGACTACAAAATCTAAATAAATACTAAAATCATTATTGACTTCTGATCATTTGCTTCAAGATTCTGTATTTTTAGCTAACTACTCTTAAAAATAACTAAACATGTTATTTCCAGTGTGCTACTTGTGCTTAGTTACCATTTTCCTCTACAGGTGTTATTTGCAAAAATCCAGTTAAAGTAACAGACTGCATCACTGTAAATAAGGTCGACAACAAAAAGTGAAGTATCTTATTTTTAGTGCTTAGAATGATTTTGTCATACATTTAGAAGAACACAATATACAGCAGCAATTTAGTATGCTTGGTAAACCACAGTATTGACAAATGAACACCTAAGTTATAGCATATAGTGAGCTATAAGACTTATCACTAGAATTTATGTCAAACTGACATAAATAAGGAAGTGGTTTAAGAAATCATTTAATATATTGCCAGTTTGTGTTTCTCCATTCCAGTTTTTACAAACTAAATGTAACAGGCTCCCAAGTGACTGTGTATTCTACTACAAAATGCCTTACTTTCAAGTCTTCCCCATTCAGCACTGTGACTGTCCCTGTTGGTCCCTGCCTATGAGAAGATTACATATGGAGTTTAATTTACACTATTTAAATATGTTACTAAAGATCTAAAAATGTCTCTAGGCAGCTGAATATACAATTTTTGTTCAAGCCTGATTTCCATATTCTGGAAATGTATGAATCAGTGATGTCCTCATAAATGCAATGACTGAAAACATATGCACATCTTTCTATTAGCCTTCTATCTGTGGTGCTGTTACGTCATTTTCCGGCTACTTTTACTACAGATCTGGGCATAAATCGACTGTTTGTTCAGAAAATGTGTTTTCAGTAGCTCACTGTGTTTTAATGGGTACAGGTATCAGGCAACTGATTCTCCACCTAACACTGGCAGTACATCCTTCAAATCAGACACGTGATATGAAGCCCAGGCCCAAGCTGGCTGGGATCTGAATGGTTTCTAATGCCAGCGAGGATGGATTAAATGGAAAAGTAACAGGAAAGATGTGTTTAGCATCCATGAGCAACTGAGGAGAGTCCTTCCTGTCTCGCAGACGCATCTGCAAAGATAAGAAAGTGATTACATTAGCATTTAGCCACTTCATTGATAATAATCGTCTTGCAAAGAGGCAGTACTTCATCTGTGCTTTGAGAACACATGTGTGTACAGACACACTCTATGCTAACTAGACTGACACTTTGCAGCAATTGTGCCATTAAACTCGAGTTAATTTCGTCATTGTTGGTTCTGCATATCTTCCCCTTACAATGCAATCTGAAGATATTTAGATTTCCTGCAAAAGGAGGAATTTGCCCACTATCTGGTAACTGCATCGTTTCAGTAAGTGGAATTACAGTTTTATCTCAGGTCTACCTTCCCAATCTCCCTTATCCTGCTAGTAATGTAATTTGATTTCTAACAGACCAGAAAGATCATCTTAGTTTCTTTTATTTTGCTCTACCGGCTGCTTTTCTTCGGAGTTTTCAAAATGTGTCATTCACATCAATATATGTAAAACTAGAAGGGCTAAATGAAGAACTTTGGCATGAACATAGGCCTCAGTTTTCAAAGCAGCTGGAACTTCTCATGCAGACACAGGTCTACAAAAGTAAATTTGCACATACTTTACCAGCTGAGAAGTTGACATACAAGTGTGTTTACATACACAAAGATGTATAAGCATAAAAACCTCCCACTTTCCAAAAATCCCACACATACTGACAGGGAAACTAACATTTTCATGCAAGTCTGGAGGCAGTAAATTGTGATTGCTTAAAATTTTAAGGCTGACATTGCCTTTTCAACATTGCTGAAAACCAATAGCTAAAAAGCCTGGTTTACTTCCGATTCCTGAAGGCATTTCAGAACACAAGCCGTTTTGGCTCACAGAGGGTTTCTTAGAAATAGTCACATGATTTTTGATGAAAAGATATAGCCATACCTGTATTGTACGTATAAACGATACCAAGACTCTCTCTTCAAACTCATTAACTGGAGTATACAAATTCAGAACTTTTACAATCTGTGAAGAAGAACAACCATTCTTAAGTTAATTTTACTGATGAATCAACAGATGCATCCATGGGTACTAATAATATACTTTTCAAATTTGCTATTTTAAAAAGAAAATTCTTTACAAGAATTTGTTATTTTTTGCTTTATTGATTCATTCAGAATTCCATCACCTGCTTAATGCTATGTTATACAACTGTGTCCTTCAGATGTGTTCTTTGGAGGTAGAAACTTTAAAATGTGTATGGAAAATACCAAACTATGGAAAAATCAGATTATAAGTAACTGACTGTGTTCCCACACCCCATGGAAACATGCTGTATCTCCCACCCAAATATTGACCCTATAATTATCACCTTCTGTAACTTCCGTTCAAGAGTCTTACAACTTCACAGGTTTTCGAGAGAGTGAGCTATTTCTCTAAAAACAGGGCTAAAACCACCAAAGGAAAGAACTGCATCACAAAGACTTTAAATAATAATATGGGTTAAAACTTGTAAAACTTATTAAAAATTCTCTTTGATTTTTTTTACATGATTCTCTCTAAAAAAACCAACAAACCAACGACTTTTTAACAAACTTAAAACACTTGAAGCATGTGGAATTGTAACTTATTTCAGTACAAAACTAACACTTTTTTCCCAGCACTGTGAATTACTAAATCAAAATGGCTGTATCAATGCAACCACTAGTGCCAACACCATTGTGAAAGAAATGGAGAAATTTCTTCCTTTTCCTCCTGTGAACGTTCAGTAATCAAAGATGCTTGGATCCATTTATTCCTCTACAAGCTCTACACAAATGTAGCATGGTTAAACAAAAGTGCAACTTATCTGTACAAAATCTAAGCTTTCATAAATAGAAGCCTTCAGCTGTTTACTGAGATACCCCTGGTTCAGCCCTCTGAGGCTAATGGGTACAGTAACTTCACGCTTTCGTTGGCAGACCCTGGGACAACAGCTCTGTGTGAACTGTCCATTAACTTAACTGGATACTAACTCTGATGGCAGAAAGATCATTTCCTCCTATTGTAGGCAGTTTTCTGGAGCACAGACACGTCTGTGAGTGAAGAGTTTTCTCTAAGTATTTTCACAAACTGAGAGACTGTATAGTACTACACACTGCACAATCTATTGAGCTTCCTCCCATTTGTTCAAAACTTATCTTGAACATCAGACCTCAAAAAGGTCTGGTCCTTCTTTTACCCCTCCAATTTAATCTGTTTTAGTTGTACTAATGCAAAACGAAGCAAGACATCTTCGATCCCTGGGCGACAGCCGTGCAGAGCGGCATAGCAAATGCCAGCAGAGCAGAGAACTGCTCAGAAGTGACAGCAGAACAGATAATGAGGCTTTGCTTACCTGGGCAGTAGTCAGTGCATTGCACATTGAACAAATGGCTTCTGCATCTTCATCCGTTTTCTTTTTCACTTGCAACAACTGTGCAGCCTGGATGAGGGGCTCCAGTGTTTCTTTAGCCCCACTATTCATCAGATTTTTATCACGTAGCCATTCTTCCAGTTGACTCACATTGTATCTGTATGAAGAGGTAAGAGTATCAAGACATTAATGCTTGATTATTGCTAAATGGAAAGCCTGTGAATTTTCTCTTTCCCAGTTTCTTCTTTGTCCTTACGTGTTTTTCCTTCACACTTGTCATCTCTTGTCTTCATACTGTTTCCTTCTGATTAAGGCAGGAAATTTTGATTTTCAAAACAGTTAGAAACTATGGCCAAAGCCTTCCACTAATTAGCTTTTCCCATTTGTTTGTTCCTATTAATTGCAGGAATGTGATGAGTATAAGAAAAAAGGCAAATGAGATTTTGTGCATGCAAATGTACAGTGAGACTTTTCAAGGTTACCTGAGGGACTGGAATGCCTTGGCTAAATTTCCTGGCACATGCCAGTAAAATGCATTGGACAACTGATGCCAAATTCAGGAACAGAATAACATGGCTTTACCATAGGATGCAGCAAACTACAGTGTGGATGAACACAGCAGGTACCCACTGCACCACTAGCATACAAAAAAAATGCAGCAGGCTTGTTTGCTATTCTTCTCTAAAAGCTGAGAAAGCAACTACCAACATTTCACCTACAGTTCTGATTCCTACTTGATGATGAAATAGTTATTGTTTTGCTTCTGCCACATTTCCCTGAAAGCCAAGTATGATTTGGCCTAAGTTAACCAAGCTTTTTTTAACTGAACCTCACAAAATCAATTTTACAGCATCCATAACTGTTTGTACGCAGAAAAATGTATCTGCTATTCCATCAATATGATGTTCAGCAGTGTCAAGAGTTCACTAAGATTTCCAACAGCACGTTCAAGAAAAGTGAAACATAAGCTCTCCCACCTTATCTGCATTCCTTTGCTCCACGAGCACATGTCCTTGCGCAGGAGAAGATTATTAAGCGTTACGGCCCCAATGATGTAGAACATCTGCTTGACAACCTGTTTGATCAGCTCTGGATCCATTCCGTGCTGACACATCACTGAATGGAAAGAGTTCAGCTGCCGAATAATGGAGTCCAAAGTGTAGGTTCCTTCATCAGCAATGCTGGATGTTCTCTTCCGCAGCCCTGTTGGTTTCACCCCTGAGACCCCTTGGATAGTCTCGTGCTCCAGCATTCCTGAAACTGCATTTGATTGACAACATTATTACAATGACTGAAAACTGCTGATACGCAAGCATATTGTGGGAGACATCAAAACAGTATTTACACAGAAAGAGCAGGCTGTGCTTTCTGCTAGCCACAATTTACTGTGATTTCCAGCAATTCTGTGTCCCACTATGTTCTGCAAAATCTAAATTTAGAGCATTTTTACAAGATTCCAGCACATGTGTTTGAAAGGAAAGTCTAACGCTAGCTCAGCAAAGTACTGTTTTTTCTACCATGATTATATGAGCAGCAGAGTCAGCAAATCAAGAGCTGTTCCATTCTTCTAAATGTTGTGGTCAGAAAGCATAATGAAAATTTGTGAGAATACTGTCTGACAAGAAAAATGAAAAAAATCTCCATGAATGCTGCTAGCTATTTCATTGCTAATTGCTGTCCATAATAACAACCAACCATTTTTCTCCACATTTATTTTGAGTTCTCATGTAATAAGGTCTGATTTTTCCATGGGTTATTTCCCAACAGACAGAGCAACAAATATCAGACTGTCCTAACAGTTTCTTCCTGTAAATGCATGATTTATGACAAGCATGAATAAAGTATATCAATTTATTCTATTGCTGCCAGAAGAACCAGACAGTGTTTCGTTTTGCCTCTAATCCAACCTGTCCAGTGTAGTCCTTGTCATCTATAAACAGAATACTACAAGAACTATTAATGGAAGTCTACTGGTTAGAAAGAAATACAAATTACCACAATTATCACGGTTTTCCTTTTGGTACTACAATGTGAAGTTCAAGGAATTCAACTTTGCCTTACCAATCATTGGTTGCAGAATGTTTTCCAACACTCGGACAAGTTGTTGGTAGATCTGAATAGCCAAGTCGCTCAGTACTTGTCTGTATTCAGCTAAATCAAAATTAGTGAGGCAGTGTTCATTTTGACGAGGTGTATTATGCTTCATAAACCCCTGAATTCATAAAATAACAGAAATGAATGCTTCAATGGAATACAAAGATATTACACAAATCAAATATTTGTATTTTTGCACGCAACTGACAAATAATACTTTCAAAGTAATTGTCACAGTCCCCCCAAACTTTAATTTGGATTGAGGCTAATGCTAGGATTTGCTTTTCAGTTGTGATTTGTGCAACATCTGCTTCCTTGACTTGAAACTTCATGTATCTGACACAGGAATATGCTCTGACAACTTTCTGGCAGGTAAGACCCTTCCCTCCCACTCCAGCATGGGCGTTCTTGCCTGGCCATTTACAGCCAAAAGCCCAGTTAAGTTTGAGAAAAGAATGAGGCATACCACAGCCTCCAAATGTAAACTGGTCTGCCATACTATTGTCAAAGGGCTTAACACGGCCTTTTTCACAGGAAGTGCAGTGAATCATTACTAAACAACGTAATGGTAGCAGCCAGATCCCTCTACTTGAGCTGAGCAGGCCCTTTCAGGAGCACAAGGACATCTAGCCTCTGGGCCCCCAGCCTGCAATAAAGGGAAACTGGTTCAAATTTATCTCCCTGTGCTTTCCACTGACGTCATCACCATCATTCCAAAAAATGTAGCTGTTTTAAGAGACTTTGACTAGATTTTGAGATATTGCATGAGTTTGTTAAAAAGTAGTGCTCCCAATAGTATTGTAGAGCAAAAGAAACTGGAGAGGAGCACTGCTTACCTCTTCTCCGCTGTATTGCTTCAAACAGTGCAAAAATCGGCAGGTGTTAGATAGCCAGAAGGACACTGTTTCGAAGTCGTCGCCTCTTTTCTGAAGATAAAAAGAAATATTTCAACAAAGACTGGTAGGAGGAATAAAATAATAAAATGTTAGATAAACAATTAAACACTTAAAATCCACTTTCTTGTAGCTATTCAGATTCGGATGTTTTGCAAAAGTTTATGCATTTCAGGAATGTATTTGAAAAGCAAGGTTTTTGGCAAAATACTATTAAACACCCTCCCTGTTTTCTGTAGTATTTTTCAAGAACTTTCAGATCATTATTTCCTCTGCAGATATGATCTTTCTGTATTTTACAGACCCCTCCTAACTGCTCTGTGCAGAAATCACAGGGCAATGTGACTGTATTCCCAAAACAGCCATTCTGTGGCACAGTGACTCTTGTGAAGAGCCCAGCAGGCAGGATGGGAATGATGCAGAGACAGCAGAAGGAGCAGAGAACAATTCAGTTTTGATCAATGTCACTTACATCATGACCATTTTGGCAGCCTGATATGGAAAACAAAACAAGACAACAAACCCCCCTCACCAAAGAACACAGTATATGCGAGTAATTAAAATTTCTAGAGCTCTAGAGCATGGACTCCATTCACTTAAAAATGTCCAAAAAGTTCTATGAATAGCTCAGCTCCTGCAGGATTGTTTACTAAACATTTTTTCAAAACAAGTAGCTTGATTAAATGCTTGGCTTTTGAGCACATCTGTCTTTAAAAACGAAAAATCTCCAGGAAGCATAAAGCATATTTACATTTTAATAATGCCTTCAAGATAACCCTGGCCTAAACTCTCCTAGCCACATTGCAAAGACTTTAGGCAGTACCATATTATAATCCATGTAATCTGTAGGTGAAGCAAACCTGCAAATGAAATATTTTAATTAAGCCTTCTGGAGAAGACTCACTATGCAAACTTTGCCTACATCCAAAACTTTATAAGCACAGCTTCAGAGGAGGAAGACTATTCAAAATAAGAAGGAGGTAGTTCTTTTTCCACTAATTCAAAGCATCTGTGGTAGAATATGGATGAAATGCTATCAGTGTAATTTGTTTCTTGTTAAGAGACTTTTTTGTGACTTCAGTGGGAGGAGCTCATTGAAAGCCTTTTCAGTGAAAGCCAGTTCATTGAAAGCCTTTTCCTCCCTCTTCTAACATAAAAATCAAAAGCAAATTTTAAATTAACATTTTTCTAAACCAAGCAGACTAACTAACCTTCAACACTTTTTTGATGCCATTGATAGTGGAAGTCAACAATGACCGCACTTTTTGATCATCATTAAGGTAATCCGCATGGCGTACACACATGAACAAAATATATGCTGGTAGTCCTGGAATCAGGTTAACAGCTACCCCACGTGGTTTCAGCTCTTGGGAAAAACAAACACACATTGTTTGGTTAAGTGTACAGTCATTGGAAGGTGTTATATGAGGTAATTGCAGCCTCCCCAGTTAATAGTACATACATCTCTGTATATGGCCAGTGAAAACTAAGAACAAAACCAAGAGCCACTTTCTTGGTAAAATATCAGAACAGAACAAAAAACCATAACTGCCTGATAAAAAAAATAGGCAGACACGTTAATATGTATTATATCATCAGGAAGGATGATTAGATTACAATAGACATTTAGGAATTTTAGGTAAACTGAACACTGTCAAAACCAAAAGAAGCTATTTATTTCATGGTGCAAATTCTGTGTTCTTATCATTCGGTTTTCAGAGTGCGTGGGAGCAAAGGAGAAAGATGCTTACCTAAAATAAGATTCTTGACAAGTTTTTGTTCATCCTCCTTCTTATATTCTAACATCCCTTGGAAGTCCTTTTCTTTCCGTGGAATGTTAACTGGACGAATAGGTTCATCAATGATTTGTCCAGGTGATATGTTCTCCATCTGGCCAACTTCAGAGGGGAAAGGAAAAGAAATTATGTAATATTTTCCAGTGAAACCAATGCATACCAGAGGAAACTATGACATCTCTAAGGAAGAACTCTAGCATATAGAAGTAAGAAACGTTTTCTTTGGTTTGGGATAACAGTTATGAACAAAAATCCCATTAAACAAAAGGACAGATTGCTGATAAATATATCTTGGGGCGGCATTCTTCCTTTGAAGAAGCGTGGAAGTGTGTGGATGGCATCCATTAATACAAATTTACTGCTGATTTCCTGGATCTTATCGTAGAAAAGCACAAAGGCAAAGTGATAGCGTTAAACACTTAATCCAAGATTAATACTGCAAGGGTCACTGTTCATAGTTCTGCAAAATGCCAGTGTTTTTCAAGCTTGATGTCTGTTGCCTATTGTGGTAGGTTTACCTTGACCAGCAGCCAAGCACCCACACTGGCTCCAGCAGGACAGGAGAGAGAATATTAAGAGCAAGCGAGAAAACTCATGGGTCGAGATAAAGATGGTTTAATAACCAAAGGAAAGGGTGAGGGCAAAGCAAAGGCAATCACACTCCATCCTCCCTGCAGTGGGACTGATACCCAGTCAGCCTCCAAACAACAGCTACCTTGTATGCAAAAACCCCTTCTTCTGGCTCCTGACCTTAGGTGGTATGGAATGTGGAATATTCCTTCAGCCAGTTTGGGTCAGCTGTCCTGGCTGTGTGCCCATGTGCCCTCCCACCCCCAAGCTTACTGAGGGGACAGAGTGGGAAAAAAAGAGAAAACCTTGACTGTGCAAGCTCTGTTCAGCAATAGTCAGAACACTGGTGTGTTACTAACACCGTTTTAGCCACAAATCCAAAACATAGCGTTACACAGCCTGCTATGAAGAAAGTTAACTGCATCCCAGACACACCTACTACCTTGTCCACAGTAAGAACTAAACAATATTAAAAGACTTTTTGAAAGTAAACTTAGTTTGAGTAACCTTTCAAAAGGATGTATGTAATATCCACCTTGTTGCACACGGTGCCTCACGGTATTACATTCAACAACTACACTCTGTCTGATTCGGTTGCATGTTTGTTTTTGAAAAGCAGAACTCAGCTTCATCCCATGAAAGCTACATCCTCCTCTCACAAACCTCCTAGCTGCATGTGATTAGAAACTATGGCACATCCTGTAAGCATGCTAAATGTGTACACCTGTCAAACAGGACAGAAAATGCAGAAATCCAACCTGGAGCTCAAGGAGAGCTCCCACAAACTAAAGGATAATATACTCCTGTTAATCCAGGTTTAAGTTCGTACTGCTGTTCTTTTCAGACATTCAAACACTGAAGACTACAGTCACTGATCTCAATCTTAGTGCTCAATAAAACAACTCATTAGGCAGTTAAGCTTGTTTCTGGAAAAAGCAGATGACGGTAAAAAGCTTCTGAAAGGTTAGGACCAGGATTATTTAAAAACAAATTCATACTTCAACTTTGTAACATTATTCATTGCTTTTAGCAATTAAAATTACTTTACTTATGCAGAGACCTAATAAGCTGTCAGTCTCACCAGTTCTAAGATCCTAAGGCAACTCACAGTGACGCTCATAAAAATTAAATTAGCTTAGTCCATATCTCAGCATTCTATATTCAAGTTTGGCCAACAGCTCTGAAAGGAAACTTCAAGTGGAGAAAGACAGTCTCAGCATTCTTGGCTCCAGTGATACAGAAATTCACATTCAAAGGAAAACTGGGTAAATTATTCCTGCCTGGTTCATCTTTAGTATACTTTTGTCTTCAAAAAAGGAGATACTGCCTTTGAGTACACAAACAGCCCAGGTGACATTCCCTTATGTTCAAATGGTTTCTGCCTTCAGAGAAACATCAATCTCCTTCACTCATCACTTCAAAATATGACAAATCTTCTAAAGGTTTATAAAGGAACACACAGAGCTCTGAGCACACCTCCTGTTTCTGGAATCATTTAACAGAGGCTAACACTACTGAAGACCTCATGGCCTCCTGACTGCTAAAACAGATGGATATGCTGACAATGGGATCACAAAAAGTAAGCCAAAATCTTTTGTCTTTCTCTCAATATATAAAAGTACCTTCAAGTTCACCGATCTTCTTAGCAAATACTTTCAACTGTTTCTTTAGCTTGCGAACAGTTTTGTCTTGCTTTTCAAGCTGCTCCATTAAATCCTGTAAATTAAAATGAAAGATTAAGATATGAGAAAAGTCCCGTAACGCGTGACAGAGACAAAATCAGTGCTGTTAGAATGACAAGGCGGTGAGGAAAGCTGAACAGTGGTGCCATCCTCTGGCTGAGGTTTGCAAGCTGGTACACTGCCTGTAACAAGCCAAATATTGCAAATATTATTAAGTTATATGCAGCGTGACAAAGGCAAAGCTCTTAGGCAGGTATATTCTGCAGGCACTCAGAACTAGGTCAGTTCTTATGGCAGAAGACATTTTGCTGCAAAAACATCTCCCTAATGCTTCCTCCCTGCTCTTACAAATGCCTCAAGGAAATAATTTTCTTTATTATTTAAAGCCAGCCTGTATTTTTGCATCATTTATTCATGCCTTCGGGACTGACTTGTTATTCAGACTTATCCATTTTATAAGACGATAAGAGAGAGATCTGCAGAAAGACCATAACTTGCACTCAAATCTACCAAAGGCAAACATCTAAACACATGACATTTCTTGTGATGGTCTGCCATTTCCCTATTGCTTGCTGTCATCACACTTCCTTACACTGTGTACCTGAACAACACCTAGCACCTAAAAGTCCTACTCTTGCAGTAAACCTGTATTTTTCTTTCAAAGCAGCACTCCCCAGAAATCTATCTTTGAATAAATCTGTGACCTATGGTATACATTCATAAAATAATCATGTAATTAAAAAAAGGGGAAGTCTTCTAAAGGAAGCAAAACTTCAAGCTCAAAAAACCTGAAAGCCATCATTCCAGGTCAAGGGTTTGAAAGCAGCTTCAAAGAAAAATGCTCTTTCATAAATGTGATTCTTCATGGCACTGGTAAGAATGTAAAGGACTATGAGCTCCTTGCATCAAAAGCATCATCTGGGAAACTACACCTCTCCTAAAGTATTGAAAAATGTAAGTGCAGCATGGGCAACAACTTAGAATTAGGCACAAATTATTCTTAATCATGTATTAAAGAGTTTACAACCTACTATAATATACTTGAGCAGTAAGATATTAGTCCTGTTGAAAGAAAAGAATTGAGGCCATGCTTCACATTCAAAGCAGTGTTCAATTTTACAACAGAAACATTGTTAATAACACAATATACTTATTGTCAGATATAACGATTTCTCCTGAAATTAATAAACAAATACATATAAGTCCAACAGACTGTTTCAAGCACATCAGTGAAGGGATGCCATTTCTGAACAACAAGTATGTGAGGAGGAATAAAGCTCTTTCTATGGTTCCTCTAAACAAACTGAACAGATTTCACATCTCATTAAGACTCGGAATCTCATAAATTATCCTCTTCCAAGGTTAAATATGGTGCTATCTTTAATTATTATGGAAATATTTCCAATTTTATCCTTGATATTTTGCATTTTTGAAAAATATTAAAAGGTTATGTATTTTGATTCGGATAGACTTATTCATTCCAGATGTCAGCACTGTAAAGAGATCCATGAACAAATGCAGGCTATAACTGGATTGCAGGCATTATTCACCTTGATAAGTATCTGTATGATCAGCCCTCTATTTTGCTGAACTGAATTTCAATGTACCAAAATTGTAAAGCAAAAAGTGGTTCTGAAAATTTGGCATCTTTTGCATCATGTACTTCTTTTTCAGGGCAGTATTAAGTAGTATTCGAAAAGAAACTGCTTTGCTCACAGTGCAAGGCTTGTATTAGTAACGAAACTGTGCATCAAAAAGAGACACAGATTACATAGAGGACGCTAAGACTAACAAAAAAAGCAGTGAGGGAAGTAATTGGCATCATGAAGCTCTCTGCAGGGGATTTCCTTTCCAGGGGAGAAAGGGAGGCAGCCTGCTTTTCAATTAGTGCTCCAGAAACAGCGAACGAGACAACAGAGAAACAGGATTCACATGATCTACATACAATCATCCGTTTGTAAAGTGAAATCCGGTACGATTGATACTTCTTGGGATCATCTGCATACAACTCCTCATAAAACTGTAAAAATAGGTACAGGATTGTTTTTCCCCCTCCCTTTGAGACGCTAATACTTCAGTAAGCACTATATGAATTAAATCAGATTAAAACAAGATCAAGAATCTCCAATTTTTAGGTTGTCTAGTGCTTTGTTGTGGTGTTCACGCCAGCCTCTCTCAGAGAAGCTGATGTAGATGAGTTGCAGAACAGTCAGATCTTTCAAAAACTGGCACTACTAATACTGTGAAAGCCTGGAATACAATCTTTGTGAGATCCTGGACAGGACGTTTTCTTACGCTAACTAAGATGGGCTTGCAGTAAATACTGCAATTCTAATATCACATCTGGAAAGCCTATAAATTATTTCCACTCAAGGAGTGGAAAAGCAGCATATACCCGACTTGGAGTGGACTTGCAATACTCAAACATCAGAAGTGAAATACTAAGGAATGAGTCTGTATTTAATAAGTAAAATTTGAATTTGTATTTGAAAACAAAGAGAACTCCTCTGGGATGTAATTACACGACTGTGTGTTGTCTTGGGAACACAGAACGTGATGAGTAGGTCTCTGGACCAAAAAAAAAGCTAAAAATCGTAACGAATGACTAAGCAGCAGGACAGAGATGGAAACATTCACCATTTACCTTTGCCAGTGGGAGACAGCTGCTGCTGAGGCAAACTTATAATATACTTTCAAATCAGTTTTCCATCATCTATTAGCTGAATTATCTGATGCTTTCCTCAAAACCTTTGTTACTAAGACAAGAGCCCAACAACGATAACTTCTGTTAACACATATTAAGCAGGAAAGACTACACCTTGGCTTCTTTAGAGGAAGCAATGACACTCAGAGCTAGGATTTTTCTTCCTGAAGTAACATGGTTCCCTTTACCACTTAAGAGTGATAATCCAATGATATCCCAACATGGGCCTCTCTGGAAAATCTCCCCAGAAATGAACTAGCTTGCATATGATGAACATACTCCTTTGTGGGGAAAGGTAGGGAGTTTCACCCAATCTTTCCTTCATACAAAAATGTTGTGCGGTAAACAAGGAATACCAATTATTAGCTAAGTGACTTCTAACCAAGTTTCTTTTTCTGAAACTATTTCTTTCTTCAAAACATACTGAATAGCTGGAGCTCATTACACAGTGGATTATCTGTGTAGCTTCAGACAGGGAGGAGGGAAGTGGAAAGAAAAGTGACATTAAATAACTGAAGAACTACATTGGAGTTTTTCAACAAAGTAAACAGACTAATATATTCAGAGGAAACACCACTACTTGGCACTAGTATTTTTTATGAGTTCCCTGGATACCAACATTCTACTTAGCAATGATTAAACTCATCAGCTGAAAGCTAGGATCCATCAGCTTTCTCCATGTCACAAACTCCAAACAAATTCCCAGAAACATTATTACTTTGTCAGCAATCATAAGTCTCTCTCTCCTATTAGCTTTACAAAAAACCCACTGCACTCATGCAGCTTTTTGCAGGAGGTTGCCATCTGAAAACCAGTAAGAACTTAGAGGCGCAGCAAGTCTGTGTAAGTCCCCCAGCGTGCTCCTGCAGCACCAGTTCCCTTACCAAGTTCTCATTAGTCAGCCGGGTGATCTCATGCTGTAGACTGGCTTCAATGCGGGCTTCTGGAGGCAGCTGCAGGTTCTGTGCTAAGAGCTGCTGCTGGCGATTGTTTTCTTCCTTCAGACTTTGGATCTCACCTCGCAGCGATTCCAGTTCGTTCTCGTGGCTCTTCTTCTGTGACTGAAGCTGAGACTCCAGCAGCCTAAAGAAGTTGAGCAACAGTTGTATGAACACACTGAGAAAGTTACATCCCCAAATCTCAGAGGGAGTGTAAAGCTTTAGCTGCTGCTCAGGAACAATTAGCCATGGCTTGCAAAGGAAAATGAAAAAGGCAGAGTACTCTTTAAACCCTTCAGTATGCCTTCTAATTAAATTAAACTTGCATGATCAAAAAGTGGAGAGAAACTAATTGTGACGCTGCTTTGCATTTCCTACTGTGTATGGTGCCACTGAGAACATACCGCAGTTAATGCAATGCTAAGTCTTCACAGATTGTCACTGCTTTTAAAGGGGCTTTAAAGAGGTTTTACCTCTAAATCAAATCAATCAAACTGTGTAAGATGAAGAAGACCCTGTGTTCGCTTAAGCTAGGACCCTGCAATACTAACAGAGGAAAATCTTTTTAGAGTTAACTCTGTTCAGTCAGAAACCATTTAATTGCAAGTGCACATAAATAATCTTTATTTTTACATTCTGCAGAGGGTTGTCATTAGCACACAAAAGGTTAACAACAGAACCAAACTCAGGACTGGGATCTGGGAGCTCTATTTTATCCTCACCACTGACTCGCTCTTTCCCCTTGGGCACATCATGTCTCAAATTCTTTGCGTGTGAAGTACCAGCCTCCTTCCAAGCAGTGCTGTGGGGATCTACTCCTGCTTGCAAGGCACCTTCCAAGTGCTCTGACTCATCATTTCATACATACACACAGAGGAACTGACAGTACTAGTTACTACTGTTCAATTAGACAATCTTTCAGGGTTTAAATATGCATGAGGCAGGCATATTTATTAGTAACTAGACTGATCAAGCATGCAAGGGCAAACAGTCATTTACCTGCATTGCTCTGCCATTTAATATAAAGCTTCTTATCTCTACAGGGGTAGGACAAGAAACAAGAGGTGCAGAGCAAACACTACTTTCACACCCTGCTCTGCAGAACGCTTGCTCTCAGTTAGATCTTCACAGGCTCACAAAACAATGTTAGGTGTAGGATTTGTTAGCACAAGAAAAGGAAAGACTTTAGTTAGTAGCATTCATTGAAAAATACCTCCTTCTGTAGTTACTGCTACCAAATGTCTATATTGAAGATGATCAGCACTGCTGATCTATTGAATTAGTTGTGTGTGCAGGACTAGGATCCATTTTGGAAATCTGGGACACATGTACGGATATGAGGCCCAGATGCACAGACAGAGCCAGAATTCTATTTCCTAAGAAGGCAAATCTCGCCCATTACACGACCAGCGTGCAGTCTTTGCAGTGATTGCACTGAGGCTTGAACAGCGCCACGATGAACTAAAGATTACTTCTGCTTGTTGTTTATTTTGTGTCTGACATTTTGAATCTGGCATGGAGAGAAGTGGGAGAAGAATGTTCAATTTACTGAACTTAAGTCACAACAAGGAGAGTAAGACCCGTAACTATTTGAAAGTTAAGAGTACGCTGAAGCTACCCAAACAATAGTTTTATAATTACTAAAATGATTGTTCTTCTTTAGGCTGAAAGGGACATTAATTTTGAGAACTGACATAAAGGCAGACAAAGAATACATGGCTACAAATCTTTTCCAGTTGTGGAGCTTCTGGTATTTTACAGTCTATTTTTATGCAAGTATTCTTATGAATTATATATTAGTTGTTGTGCCGTCTTAACTTTTTAAATGATAAAACTTGACATACTTGGGGACTAAGTTTGAGGGAAACTCTTTAATTTGTGTAACTGGTGATGACTTTTTTTTTTCCCTAACTGTTAAAGCCATAGAAATATTGTAGCTAAAGGAAACCCATAGCAAGGGGCACAGTTAGCTAGAAAAGAAGATGCAAATGAAGAAAAAAACCATTCTGAGAAGTCTGGTAACCTGTTGGCTTGTTTTAACCCTTCATAAACCAGCCAAAGTTCTCCGTCCTCATTCAGCATATGATAGTCCTGGGGAGATTGCCTTTCAAGAAAAGTGTTTAAAAAAAATACAAGAGAGACACGTGATGGTGATGAGATGACATGTTAAGGACATTACACACTAAATTACAGTTACTATAAAAGAGAAACAAAAAGTGCTCTAAAACAACTTAGCAAATTACTTCCCTTGTTTATACGTGTTTTTCTTAATGATGAAACTCAGTTCTCGGTGTTAGCCCAACTGGTTACAGCATTTCATGCTGTTACAATAGATGTATTACAACAGACTACTGTGACCACTGCTGGACAAAAGGCAAAAAACCAGCATGGGGAATGACACCCAGTGTAAGGAATGTAGCAATTAAAGGCTAATAAGACGTAAATCCAGGAAGCTTGATTTTGCATTTCCCCATTGTTTCATAATCCTTTCAGCAATTTTACTACTCAAAACAAATTATAACCCCAACTACAAGTGTTCTCTAAGTATCTAGACTTACATGGATGCAACTTATTGAATATGACACATGCAGTGTGTCACAGCAGACCCCAGCTGATCATAGATTAAAGAAAGAGAACTTGTACCTGTTTGTTTCCTTCAGTCCAATATATGCCTGTGCTATTTCTCCTTTGTCTTTCATCTTTTGTACATCCTCCAACAGGATTGTAGAATCTGTCATGGTATTCTGGAAAAAAAATGATGGTTTCCAGCGTAAATTTAACAATGTAAGTGTTCTTTGAATCCATGTTTCCGTCACTTTACCCATGTGGAACACTAATCCTTGAGCAGCCATGTTAAAATTAGTGTGGGTGCCTGAGCAGGAGGTTGGTCCATAACTTCTATGTCCATGTGGTGTATCTTTTTAAATGAATGCATGCAACATGGTCAAATATCAGTCTGTCTAATAAGTGGGTACATGTGTTAACCTCTTTTCATTTGTTCATCATGTAAAAGGAACAAAATAATTTTCATCAAATGATGAATTTGCATTTTATTTCAAGTTACCAGGAACAGCTGCTAATACTGAAACTGAAGAAGCATAATTTTGCAAGCTTAATTCTATTAATATTTCTTGAACACAGCATTACATGTAGTCTTTCAAATCTCATAAATAAGGTCTATTTATCACTTCATCTATTTTAAGTTCTCTGGCAAAGCAGGAAATAATTTACAAGGGCCTGAGATTTTTAAAGGTAGATATCATCATAATACCATTTTGTTTCAGTTTTCAGTGTTTACTATGGCACTTTTGCTTTTTCTTCAGTAAAACCTGAAATACTTAACAGATGTTTAGTCACCTCGGCCAGTCTGATCAGAGTCACTGCTGTTGAATAATTACAGTGGAACCATAGCACTCTAATGAACATAAGAGATGGAATTCTGACTTTTCTTTTTGACTTTCAAAACAATCAAATGCTATTTTTCTGAGTAAAATTTTGCTAAGTATTTACAATAACAACTTTGTGGACATAAATTTTGGAGCCTAGGTCTCTATGCCTAGTATGATTCATGTCATCTAATACAAAACCCAATAAAATATATAAGCTCCTCAAAGAATTACTCCCAACTTCCTTATGAGATCTTTGTGATTTTTTCTACTATTATTTTATTACACTGTAAAACTGCTGCATCTGACCTGCCAACCTATCAAGCTTTAGCAGTCTGAACATATTTGCTATTTTTGTGCGGATGGAAAGAAATGCTAATTATTCTTCTATCTTCAGGAATACCCTGCCTGCTGTAGTTGCAACATTTGAATAAACAGCCTTCTTTTACAGTCATTTCAGTTTCTCACACCTCTAAATACTATGTGTTCAGCTACATTTTCTGATCAAACATTCAGCAATGAGAATAATGAACATCATAAAGTAAGGTAGTTCTTCCTATCACAGACTTCTGTGAAATTTATGGATTTTGCAAGTTAACAGAGATCTGATTCCTAAATCACAGTCCTGCTCTTACTCTCCAAACACACTCAGCAAGATACATTGATTGAGCTGAATAGACCTGACTCTTTCCTTTAACGTTCAGATTACCATAAACCAACAGTTCAAAATTGTTAAATCTGCTTGTTTTGAAGTAACTTGTTCCTTTGCACTGAGCGGGAATATGGGGATGTGGGGGACACAAGGATAATGAGAAGGTTTTTCAGCAACCACAAAGTAAAGTGCAAGAACAACTTCAAATACACGTAGGTTACTTATGAGAGGCAGGGAAATGAAAGCTCAAGTATTGTTGAGGATTTTTTTTAGCATTTAAGAGTTCTGGTTTATAATTGTAGAAGAAAACATGTACCTTATCCTCCTGGCAACCGAATTGGTAAGCAAGAAAGAAGAAAAAACGAGTCGTTAAAAAAAAAAAAAATTAAAAAAATCTGTCTGTGCTGCAGCTGTCCAACCTAACAAGCAGATGCTATCTGCAAACTGGCTGTTAGCCATCCCATGGGTCACCTTCATATTTCCCTCATACTTGTAACTGCTGTAAAAATAACACTTGTATCCCACCATTGCTGAGAATGTTATTCAAGGATTTACTATTCAAGTACTTCTTTACAATGTTCTAGATATTACAGAAAAATTAGTTTTGTTTTCTTTATAAATAATTATTTAAAACAAGATGTGCACACGTTCATGCATCACAGACTTTCAATTTATTTAGGACAAATACAAACGTAACTTTGCAGTAGCAAAGGAAAGATGACATTCTGTCATTCCTTACTGTGGCTGTGAAACACCAGATAGCTCAGTTCAGTGGAAATGACTAGTTCCTGGATTTACGTGATACTTTTTCAGGTTGAATTACTCTTATTTTCAAAGCTATTATTTCCCTAATCATCTCATCAGAGTTAGAGCTTTTTAGAAGATACGCATTTCAGTGGTTGTAATCTTCTCAATAAAACCACATAGTACCTATCAAGCAATAACATGGATCTTCTGTATTTTCATAGGTCATCTTTATGAAATGTTATCATGCAATGGTATCAATTTGCAATCATCTATGACCCTGCATAGATTTAGAAGAAATTGTTCCTTGTACCACCTACTGAACTATTAATTAAAAAGAATTCCTGAGAACTACTGAAAATTTTCCAGTCAAACTACATAATCGCTAGAGAAATGATACTGCTCCAAACTGGAATTACTTCTGCATTGTTAAAGGAGTCTGGGGAGATCCTGGCCAGACCATTGGTATCTGCCAGACTGGTGTGGTCAGTACAATATCTTTACATGAATGCTGGTAGACAACCCTAAAATTGGTTTATTAATAGAATCTCTCAATTTGGACTGCTGCAATTTGTGCACTAATAATGGAGCAATGGATTATACTTAGAAAGGCTTTCAAACCTAGACCATTTTTTTCTGTGTTTTCAAGCAAGCTGTTAAATGAAATAAAGCACATCAGTGATGCAATGTAACTTTACCATTCATTTGCTCACTATAATTTACCTTGGGTTGAATAGCCTCTTTCTGGCTAACAAGCTGAGACCTCAGGATGAGGACTTCTTCCTTGCGGACTTCAAGCTCTTCACTGACTGAAGTCAGCTGATCCAGGAGGACTCGGTATGCAGGGGCACCAGGAGCAGTCACCTCTGGAGATCGTGTTTCTGTGAGGGCCTTCTGCAGCTCATTCAACTCATTCTTCAGTTTTTTATTCTCAGATTCAAGTTCTTGACGCTGCAAGAAACAGGGACAATTCTGTCAACCAGCAGCATTCCAAAGTGTGCCTATATATACACACACACACACATATATATAAAACCTATATAAACCATAGGTACAAAACTATGGATAGAAATGGTAAAAACGATGAGTAACTGCAACAAATCAATCAATCTCTCCTGTTATCGCTGGCCTCTTGACTACAGTGAAAAGGGCCTGGGAGGATTTTACTAACAGGGCTAACCTTTTGTCTGAAGTGAAAAATCAGAACACATATACATGAATCATACAGATTTAATGGGAAAAAAATTACCAGTCTTTTTTTTCATCTCATTCTCCCCTTAACAAAAAAAAAAGTTCACAACAAATAGTGGTCAGCACACTAAAAGATTCTGCATTATTCCGTAATATTAGGAAATATTTTTAGTTTTAGTGGTCTTGGGTATGCAATCAATTTAAATAATGTGCTTGGAAAAGAAGGCTACTTTTATCACTGTATTTTTGCTCAAATTAATTTGCAACCTGTACTAAGTGTTTCAACAGGGAACTCCCCTTGCTTTGGCGGATCTTTATATTCTGTAGCCCCCGTCACACATTCTACACCTCAAAAAGGGCAATCCTGCAATGAAATGATTGCCGGGGAATTTTTCTTCTAGTTTCTTCAGCTAATATTCTGAAAACAGGAGAGCTGATGTCATTTTCTATGCCAATACATACAACTGGTGGCAATATTCTCACCAGAAAATAACAGAAATTCTCCTTTTTAGAATTACCTTTAGCGACTCATACTCCAACTCTGCACCTCTTATTGGAGGCCTTTCATCGTCCTATGAAAGAATACAGACAATTGTGAAAAACAAAAATCCAATCCTTTGTATTCTTTAATTTAGTTGAGGCAGGAAAAGGAAAGGGAGCTGAAATTATTTTCCTATAAAACTAGAAAACACTCATTCTGGTACTGCTGAGTGCTTTAGTTTAAATATTGGCATTGTCTCCTTTCATTTACTTATGAGTTTATGACACGTAATTAATTAATATAAATAAAATTATGTGCAAATCACACTACTGTCACTGGCAGTGAAACAGAGCAAGATGAATCCCAGGATGCCTAAGAAATTCACTGGTGGAAGACTAACAAGAAACAATTGCCAAAACTGGTTTCATATTTTTATAAGTACTTAAGGAGACCAAATCCGATGAGAATTTCAAATAAAATCTGCTAAACATGTCTAATCCCAGCGCTTCGGCTCTGCATCCTGGCTGAAACACTTCTTATTCCACCTAAAATGAAAAATTACTCATTGTCCCCATCATTTAAGTAGATTTCTATATTGCTATTCCTTAATAAAAACAGCAAAAAAGCCCTTTTTTTTTTTTTTAAGCAAAGCCCCAAGCACTCTCTGTTCTTGTTAACTTCCATCAGAGGATCTCGAGGACCTTGGAAAACTAAATAACCAGTCCCTACTACTAAGCACCAGGCATAAAACTTGTCATTAAATAAAGCAAGTACTAGAGCAAGATAAGGATTTAGTAAAAGCCAGTCAGCATTAGCACAGCTACAATTTCACAAGAAGGAACACTCTGACGTCAGCATTTGATCGGCCAGAAGGAGTCCACCTTAGCTTTAGCACGGAGAGCCTGTTCTTCCTTTCTGTCCAGTTCATCCTGCAGGGATTGCTTTTCTTGCTCCAGCTCTGTAACCCGTTTCTGCAGCTTGAGGAACAGAGACATATCCAGTGGTGCCTTTTTCTCACTTGGTTCCTGCTTTAGAAAGGACAGAAGGAAGTCAAGAAGTATTCCCCTTCTACATCACAAGGAAGCACTACAGTGAGTAAAGACGGGAAGCAGACTGGGGAAAGAGAGTAACACAGAAATGTTACTTGATTCTGAGAGTTGACTATTGGCATCTAAAATATTTCATCAGCTGTCAAACACTATTTTAAAAAAGGATCTACTAGTATAAAATGTATCTAAGCCTAAAGCCTAGCAAAAGAAAGCACTAGAGACTACCTAGCAGACAGGAGGTCTATAATTGAGCATACCTTTTATTCTTACTTGTTTGGAGGGGGAAAGGAGAAAAAAGAAGTCTGTGGTTAGACTCATCTAGAAACAACTGTAAATAGAGGCTTTTTTATTTTAGTTTTAAATTATTTCTACAGTAAGTTCTTCAGCTACAGAGAAATCTCTCTGCTGATTGTAGATTTTACAGGTTAATTGAGTGGGATGTGACATAAAAAATAGGTACCAGAAGATATATTTTATGCTTTTTTCCTTTTATTATGCTAATTATACAGCCTGTTCTGAGCCAAATCCACTATCTTTGTCGCTATTTTCTGGGCAAGGACCAGTGTTTGTAATCTGAAGGTGCATCAGAAATTGTCCATCAGCCATTTTGCACTTTATGTAGCAAGAAGATCAAAGCATTTACTATGAAGTGCACCATAAAATTTTGAAGCCTAAAAAAGGAACTACAAAAATTAATATTAATGACTGTAGCAGACAAGCAAGCACAGCCATTTCCACGTCATCTGCTTTTACTGTTGAGGAGAGGAGTCATAAACCACATCAACAGCTCAGGAAAAAGAAAACAGACTTTGGGTTTTCTCACTTTACTGGTTTGCATTGAGATGGACCCTATTCTTTAATGTGGTTTTCTATCATTCATCTATCTTGTCAGGCTAACTGGAGTTTGAAATCTTAAGGGGTTAAAGAAATACAGATTTAATCTTCTCAGTGCTGCGTTTATTCACGCTCTTGTGCGAGTTAATTTTTTTCATTTATATTCTAAAACCCAAAAGTGGCTCTAGAACAGCAATTCAGTATGTCTACGAGGCAAAGATGACATTTGGCTGGTAGGTGAAATCTAATCACATGTAGTTGCACTGCCCTTTTCCTGATTATCCGTGAAGGAGGAACATCTTTCTGAAACAATTATGCAAGGTGAAAAATGTAAGTGGAAAGGCAAATGATGAAAGAATCTGCATAGAATATGTGTCAGCATCAACGTGTCAGGGTATCTGCATCCATAGCAGAAAATAATTTTCTGCGGAGGCTTTCAAAACCAGTAATGACAGCCTGTAAAAAGCAACTGTGGAGATAACTAACCTAGACAGAGGGCAAGGGGAGTGAGCTGTGCGATGGCTTACAGTTAAGATCGCTAGAATGCACAGAAAAAAACGTCGTATCTGCAAACTGTCAGGCACAGTCAGACCTGATGGCTCTCTGCTGTGTCAGCAGTCCCACTTCTTTGGGAGGGGCCAAAAGGAGACGTTGTCTTGGAAAATACTAAGAATGGCTTGGAGTTGCACCACAAATTATTCATGATTATTATTCATTAGCTGAATCAAAAGAGTCACCTTTGTGAAAATTTTTAAATATCTTGGGATTTGTACCAGTGCATATGCAAAGGGACAGTACATTCTCGGAGTTTTAGTCGACTCTATGAAATAGAAGAAAAATGAACCAACGTGAAGTCCTCACCTCTAAGTGAGAATTCATTCCATGTAGCTACTAAGAACGTGGCCAGCCACCCTGCCACTTTTAATCCTTGAACACACAGTATACAGACTTCTCAGGAAGTATCACTGGTTTTCTGAATTCCCCCTTTATGCTGAAAAAGTGATTGTGCTTACAAACACTGGCAAGCAAATGTTTTACAGATGCAAATCGATTGGATGGCCAAGTATCTAGTCTATGTTTACTGCAATACAGAAGAATTCAAAGCATAATTTCACAAAGACTTTTTGCATAGGACCACAACTAACTATAGAACGAGCTGTTTTCAAAAAGGAAATGGAAAAAGTTGGATTAAAGCATTAGGTATCTCAATATAAGGATATAGTGTTCACAAGCACATATGAAAAAAAGAGACAGGAATTCAACCATTGAGCATCGAAAAGTTGTGGGATTTTTTAACATTACCTCCATCCTCACTGGTAAGTCTTCTGCTTCTGTGATCTCAGAGCTAAAAGTATATTCAGATTCATTGCTACTGTGGGTTGAATCCGTTCTTTTGTGTCCCGGCTTGGGGATGTTCTGGAATGCGAATGAAACAAATCAGTACCACTGTATGATGTTTTCCCTGTGACTGTCTCAGCTTATAATTTAGCTTGCAATAGTTGGTGTTATTTCACAGCTATCAAAATTTACAAGAAAAGATTTTTGATTCTGGTCTCTCATGCCACTAAAGCCTATGAAATGTAGTTCACAATCAAATCTATGGAGACAGGTCGGGTCCTACACCCTCAAGTATTGCTGCAGAAAGTAGAATCAAGCAAGAATGTAGCATTTTGTGCGAAAGAAAATTTCGGTTTACAGGAAGCACACGCAGGAATTCTCTAACTTCCCAGACATTGTATTGAGGAGTATTTTTTCTTCCTGCCACATAAAGTATTCCTAGAACTACTTAAAATTTAACATTGGATGAGCGTGGTACAAACAACCTTAGCACATGAATAACTTCAGGGCAAAATAAGGGTGGACAGTACATGCAATACCACTAGCAAAGTCATAGCAGAAATTTAGCCTTCTTCACAAACATGAAAACAGAAATAAAAAAAAATTTAAAAAATTAACCACAAACTTTAAATGTGTTTGTTTTAGCTGAGCTAGTTTAATTAATCAATACTTAAAAGGCCAAATTCTCTTTTTAGGTACAGGTCACCACCACACAGCTGGCAGCAGTATACTGGTAGATTCTGCCTAAACGCATTTGTGAACAGCTTTTGATTTCTCAGATGTTTAGCCACTTACCACCATTAAGTTCATTTCATCCTTGAGATCATCATACCGCTCCTCTAAACGGCTGAACTCATTCAGCAGGTTCTGGTACCGTAACCGTTCATCATTCAGATCTAGCTCTAGCTGTTTGGTTTCCTCCACTAGCTTCTTCTCCATCATCTCTGCCACAGAGAACAGGAATCCAAAGTGAGAACACCAGTTCTACCTACTATGCAGTGCATCCATCCTGGAGGTACAGGCATTTGTCTGCACCAGGAGCACAGCTGGTGAAACAGTCTGCTGTTTGAGGCTGGTGTGTGGTATTTGTGCTTCTGCAGGCAAACATTAAGCCAAATACATGAAGGACCAAAGCATTATTGTGGTAACTACAGAAGGGTTCACTTAGTAAAGAGAGTTATTCTGCTAATACCTTGCATTAGTAATTCCAGGAGGGAGGAAAAAGGGGCACTAGACCAGTGCTGCATCACGTAAAAAGCAAAACATGAGATGCTTTACGCCTCAAGCACACTGACCCTCCTCATCACACTGCCTCCATCTCAGCCTTCGCCTCTAAAGTAACGCTCTTCTGGCTGCTGTCTACATAGTCACAGCAGCCAGAAGAGCTGCAGCTGATTAACTGTATTAAATACCACAGCCTTCTTTTTAACAGTAAAACACTTTGTAAGAGTCACCCTCACCAAGAAGACCCTCAAACCCTTAGGACTTTATGGAAACTCAAACAGTAAATAATTCTGATGCCTGTGAGTTCTTAAAACAAAGAAATGAAACCAGTAAACTAAAAAGGAATGCAACCTAAGGTGAATTAGCCCAATCTGTGCAGTAGAGTGTTGCTTTATAAGATAACATGAAGTAGAACACCTGAGTGAAGAGAAGCCAACCTGTTATTTCCCTCGCCTGATCATGGATGCGGCGGGTACTCCTTTTCTGTCTTCAGTAATGTGTTCTGCTCTTTCAGCTCCGATACCAGCTACAGAGATAATAAAATATTTGACTCAGAAAGCAGTTCATCTTTCATCAGTAGCTCTAACAGCAATGACATCCTTGTTGTAAGAGGTCAAATACTTAAAACTTTTCTTCAGAGAATGAAATCAGTGAACCAAGTTATGACATCTTCATTTCCCAAATTACATTTCTTAAGTATGTCCCACTGCAGGTTCCCCTGTATGTTCTGCACTCCATTTCTGATCAGATGCTAAAACTGCCTTGAACTACTCCATCGTGCCATAATATTTTTCAGTAAAGTCCCCAAAATGTAATTTATTCCTTAAAAGAGAAATATTCCTAAAATAGGAACAAATTTGTTAGTTCTGCTGTATATTCCATTGCATTGAGTAACACCATAGCCTAACACCTTGCCTCTGCCCAAAAGTTGTGCCACTTTAACCATGCCCAGGTTTGCCAGCTGCTCATTTGTCTCTGATTATGGTTACTACGCATTCACTTTGCCTAATCAATTAATGTTTTTCCTTATGTTTATCTGATTTTGAAATGTATCACTGCAGCATCACATAATGATGGAATGGCTCTTCCAATATTTAAACTTGCACCGTTATCAGCAAGTAATTTTGACAGGAGACAACCTGTTTGATATGTTTGTGGTTAAAGCAAAGATAAGGGGTTAGTCAAAGCCTGTGGAACTAGACTGTGCACACATACATATGTTTAATAAGCTAATCGCTTAAGTCAGGTAGGATATAAGCAGGTGCCTTTGAACACTGTGTATGGGGCAGATTTCTGGTATCTATGTGATTACACTCTCTAAGTAGGTAAAATGATTTCTTTTTATGAATGCGCTACCTCTGACTAATTGAGGGAGCTTAAGTATTTGGATTTGCAAATACTTTCAATATCAAATCCGAATAGACTGAATACATATATTTACATACGCTATATAGATTTAGTATATTATTCTACCACAGGCATAGTTATTTAGGTATCAAGTCTATTTAAGATTGTACAGGTATGACGTTGCTTAAAAATCCTGTAAAAATATTAGCTACACTACTGAAGTGAGTAACCCTGGGCAAAACCTGAGTGGATACCAGGCCTCTATAAATCTTCTCATGCATCTGAGACTGCATACTTGCCTGCTCGGTTTCATGCTTGTAGTTGTCTGCCCATTCCTCAATGGTCTTCTTCTCAGACTGAGTTTGGTGCAGCTCCTTCCGGAGCTTGGCAATCTCCTCCTGAAGGCTGAGGACGCGGTTAGTCGCGTTCTTGGCCTCCTCCTCACTCATCCGCAGCCTTTCCACATCACTCCGCAGCTTCTCTGTCTCTGTACTGTACGTGATCTCCAGGTTGCTCAGCTTCTCCAGAAGAGATTTGTACTCTTTGTTCTTTGCAAAACACAACACAGACAGAGCAGCTGTTGGAGAAGTTCTGGTTTAAGGGAGCATTCTAGTTCCCTACAGAATATACCCAGACACAGGAGTACAACAAGCAGCTTCCCCATTTCAAAAAAGTTTCAGTGTGGTTTTGCCCAATCGCTTAGTAAGGTGACAGAACAGTCCAGTTGCTAAACCCGCACACTAGCATCCCAAATTAGAATCAGACAAGGAGCACACGCATATCAAACACAATCACCTCACCTTCCCCTTAAACAGAGCAACTGATGTGCTTCAAATGAGATCCTGACATTAAGGAAGCAGACATTTTCTCTCAGTGCTGCTGAGAGGCACAAATGGATGCTTTACTGTTCTGTTGTACTGCTGCCTCCCTTTTTTGTCTATCAATGTTCTTCAGCAGAAAAGAGAACTGATACCTTACAATGAAAATTCAGTGCATTCTTCTGTGAATGCCCACAGTGCTACTGCGAAAGGTAATACAAGATTTCTAAATGGTTTCCCTGAGGCCCAGGAGCTTTTACCTGCTCATCAATTTTTCTCTGCAGCTGCATGATCTTGTTCTCCAAGCCAATGTGAAGCTTCTTGTAGCGTTCTACAGAGCGGGCCTCTATCTTCAGTTTCTTTAGCTCCCTCTTGGCCATCATGCGCCGGTAACAGCATTGCAAGTAAACAATTGCCTTCAAGGTCCTATGGTAGTGCACCCGAGCCAGCCAGCCTCTTACATGTTTCTGAATAACAATAGACTTGTGCTCCCGAAGCATCTACAGTTAAGCAAATCACACAAGGGGTATTAGAGTTGCAAACTACACCTGCTCAGCTGAACAGACTCCATAGATGACGTACATATCGAGACACCTTAGCCTGGAAAGAGAAACTTCTGGTGAAGAGTAACAGGAAAGGAATATAGAATTAGTTTAAACAAAAGGGGAAAAGACAACAGGAATAAGGAAAATGACAGGGAATAAAATGAAAAGGAACTGGACGGAAAAACGTGGAAAGAAAGAACTGGAGGCACGCCGAAGAACCAGGCATTCCTTTGTGTTGATGTCAGATCCAAGCTAATTACAAAAATATGTGGTACCTGTTGGCAAAATTACAAATACAATCCTTTTTTCCCCTACTGCATCTTTTCTCTTGAAACATCTTAGAATCATTGACAAATTTGCATAGGATTCATCAATACAAAGTTTAAAATTACCGCACTTGATATGGAGCGCAGCCAGTACACACTAGAACTCCAGAGCAAATTGTTAAAAACAGCAGCCGTTGTGTAGCTGACCAAAGTACAAGTTCCAGTCAGTTTTCCTTTTTTTTTTTTTTTTTAATTTTTTTTTCCCTTTTTTGACATATCTTAGACTTGCCTGCGTGGAAAAATCTCCATTTATTCTAATCAGAAATGTATACTGTAATAATTCCAACTTATTTCATGGCACAAATTTCAACCATGTTAAAAAAAAATCATAATAATTTTTTAAAAATAATTTTAAACAAAAATTTAACAAAAACCAGTCATCTTCATCAGCAAGTTAGCCAGAGACTTCCATTAGGAAAAGTCTACTTGTTTCTGAATCCTTCACCCACTGATTGAATCAGATATCCTCCAGGTCTGGAGCACCTGAATTCCACAGATATGCTCGGAGAGCCTGACCAAACCCACAAGGCTTCTGAGAACTTTAGAGTTCACTTAACAAAGCTTCTGAATGTTCAACAGTTTATTCTAAAAAATCAGAACCATTTAAGATTTTATGTTACTTCTTGGATTTGATAGTTCAAAGATCATATGCAGTTCACATTCTTACACTGATTTACCACGAAGCTGATAAGACAAACTAGTAGGGTAATAACAATTTTATTTTCTTTTACACTTCTTAGCAAATGAACCGAAATGTGTTACATTTCCAGCTAAATGGATTTAAAAGGTTCACTAGTGGCAGGATTATAAGATACACAAATTTTCTCCCTTAGCATTAGTTTCTGAAGAAAAAATGAAGTTTGAAACACCAGCTCTCTGTTAAATAGCACACCGAGGCAAGGAAATAGCTCTTTCACAAGTACAGCAAGATTAAAAGCCAAAGTCCTTCTGCCTGCATGTTAGCA